CCATCTGGAATACCTCGAGGTAAGAAACCTGCTACTTTGTTAATTCTGTGATCGGAAATAGGATGTTGCTGCACTAAATATTGAAAACCTTCAATTCTAAATTCATTAGCTGAAATCTGTAAAGTTTCACATCGCGATCTCTATGTTGTCAGCATATTATAGGAAGTCGTGCGATGCCGCCCCAACAGCGGCATGATACGCCTCCCACAGCTGTGAGAGCTGGATTCACACAAAAACCTCGGGGGATTGGTTTTATAGCTCCTCACACTCCTCAAGAGTACAGATCACCTTACTCTCGTCGTGCTGGTTTCTTCCCACAGCCAATACGTGGGCATCGAGGTGGAACAAATAGGCAAGGTGTGGCTACCGGCGTTGAGCCTTATTCGATGCGCCAAAGCTATCCACCCACAATGCGACCGCCTACAGTTTGGCGGGGTAATCGGGGACATCAGTATGGATCAAGAGAAGGTCCGTCATACAAAAACCTACCACCATATCGTCGTTTTTAACCTATTTGTAAAATAAATATTGTTATTGAGACGCCAAGCCACCTCTAAAAATCTCTCTGCTGGTATGTGAATCGTTGTTATTGTTGTTTTTGTTTGTTCTTGTATTACTTTTGCGCAACTGATTAATGCACAGTGATGTTAGTTATGCTTCTTCATGTTAGTTTTCGACTAGTCATCTTTCAACTAAACACTTTTTTTTGCATATTTGGGGGAAGAAGTGTTTTTCTCAGGCATTGGGAAAGAGCTTTTAGAATGCTTGAACTATGTTGTTTTTTACTTGCGAAGTATTATATGAATCGTTTATAATTAATGTTTAGCCTAAGTTGAGGGATAAGATTTTATTATGCTTTGATGGAATTCCAGTTTATACTTGGCAAAGATTAACGATGTCCTGCAGAGATTTGCGGTGCACTAAGTCACCTTCGGTTTATATTGTTTGAGACACAGTTGTTTTCTTAACCAAAATTTGTTTGAGTTTCTGGTCAGTGATTTAACCGTTGCAATGACGATTACACTAGCGCAGCTGGAATTACCACGGCTGCTGGCACCAGACTTGCCCTCTTCCTAATTCTCGAAAAGATGTACGATCAGCTCATTAAGGCGGTCATAGGTAGTCTTTTTTAATTTTTTCATAAGAAACTTTTCATAACATGCGTGATGCATAAGACTGATGTTTTCCAAGGGAGAGAAGACAGAAAAAAATAAGTGTCGAGAAGCAGAGCTCGCGCTAACTAATTTTTCTAAAGGCATTGACATATGTAAATGATTCGAAGCAAATTTATTTTTTAAAGTAATAGTCAGGAGGATTTGAAGCTAAATTACAGAATTACATACGTTGATTGCCCTCAAAAGGAAGAGAGAATATTAAAAATAATTCGTTGCTATAGAGCTTATGAAAATTGCGCAGTGGTTGGGTGAACTTTTTCAGTTAATTTTAAACAGAAGGATATATAATTGTGGTGGTTTTGGGATGAGTAGAATGATACAAATTAAATGCCTTAGGTCTGATCATCCACTGACATAATCCCGTAATGTTGCCCTTTATGCAACGTAGCTGTAATGTTTTTTCAGTTATTTGCGAAGGTAAGTGAATATAAGAAATAAAATGGTTTCGTGTAACTTCTTAGGACGATTTGAGTTACTCAATGCCTTTTATTCGCCTGATACAAAATTTCACTAGGACTGACAACTAGCTTTCATTCTTCAAAATTTCATGAAATATATAAAAGAAGCAGCAAAAACTATTTCCATCAAAATTGACATCTGTTTCAAATCCTCGTGTCATTTTCTGCTCTTGGTTTCTCCTCAAAACTTCTCGGAAA